AAAAAACCTAAGAGTATGAATCATTGCAGTCACGAAAGCTTCAAATCAAGAATTAAACGAGTGGAGTGATGGAGACAACCCACAACATGCTCGGCAGACTGATTCACTGGCAGCGGCACCGTAATAAACAATAATCCAGCAATGCAGTGCACCGGTAAAAAAATTAAAAAATTCAATCGAGACGTTAGTGGGAAACTTCCTGCCTTGTGGTTAATGGCGATTGCTCAATCTCAGCGCCAAATGTCTCAAGAGCTACACAGGCGATGGAACGCAGAAACGAAATCTTCATTCCGCTCCTGAGCGGGGCCACAGAGGGCGGGCAGGACGTGGGAAAACTCACGGATGCCCGACAGCGAGAGAACCTTGCGGAATTTGTCTCTCAATCAAGGTGCAAAATTACAACGAGCCACACACACTCTGTGGTTGTAATTGGCTTTTTGTCGAGTCGGGACCTCCAGTTTTTCCCTCCAAATTTAGAACGCATGTGTAGTGACATAGAATTAGTCACTACGTAGCATAGCGCTGGCTGCTGGCAGGGAAGGGGATCTGCAGCTTGAAGCAGCCCTGATTGACAACAGGCCACGTGATGGACCCGAGAGGGATCTAGGGTAAAGATTACGGAAGGGACACGTCGAGAGTCCACTAGTAGGTTCCAGAAGGGAGGCATGGCCGGGGCGCAGCGAGGCCACGCGAACAGGATAAAAGGGGACCCCGAGTGGGAGATCGGGGCCGTCGTTTGGAGTGTGATCCCCGTCGTCATCGTCGTCATCGTCGTCGCTGCTTTTGAAGATCGTCGCCATCGCCGCTGTCGTCTTGTGCCTTCGTCATCACTTGATAATTGCGCTGCTAGACGGTAGTTGGCTGTCTTAGTTCAGCGCCGTCAGTGTCAGACGGCTAGCGTTGCGATGTAGGCTAGCAACCAGTGTAGAGATGCGTTTAAGCGAGAGACGGAGTGTGTAACAGTGTAGGGTGTGTGCTTGGTGTTTAATAAAAAAAATTGCCTCCCAGAAGTTACGTCTACAAGTCAGTCACTACACATGTATGCATGTTTAACTTCTTTCGCACCGTAGGTAGCTAACCAAATATCCAATAAGTCACTTTATTGAGCTATCATTTGTGGCCAGGTCGCTTCTGAAAAAGAGCTATATAGCTCAGTGGGCTTGACCTGGTAAAATAAAAATAGTTTAGTTGAGGCAGCTATCAAGCATCCATCCCCCATTACCACGGACCAGGGGACGTGTCACACGTCAGCCACCATCGCCACTGATGCTCGCTCGCTCGCCTCCCCACGTTTATCGCTCATGGGAAGTGGAGCTCCCAAGCAGTCTCTCTACCCACAACATTCTTAAATGCAGACGGGCATTGTATTCGCCCCCCCCCCCCCCCCCCCGTTGAATTAAACGACTTGTTTGTTAGACGGATAAGATCGTCAACAGTAGAGGACCACAAACCGAAGTTCTTGTACCCAGTGGCCTCAATAACAGGGCTGGATGGGACAAGAAGAGAAGATGTATTTCGTGTGTCGATACTGCTGCCAATTAAACAAAGGATTGATTACAAGTCGTGCAGACTCGTATACAAGTGTCTACACTAATCTGCTCCATGCTATCTGATGGATATAGTGTGTGCAGAGGTACACCCACCCACCCATCCACCCACCCATCAAACCATCCTTTCATTCACTCACCCATCCACCGATCCATCCACCCATGCATCCATCCTTCCATTCACTCACTCACTCACTCACCGACACATCCACCCACCCACTCAGCCACCCACAAACCTACCCACCCAAACGTGGTATATGCCGGTCCACTCCATTGTCAATTGTTTCCATACTTTCTGCCTTCGTTACCCCTTAAATGTGTCCCGATTGTGCTATTGGCTTCATGTCAAGAGACGAAGTAACCATTCGGTCCTCTCAAGAGTTACGAATGGATATCTCGCTCCCATAGATTTGGATATTACAAAGCTACCTCTGATATCCATTTAGGTCGCCTCTTGCCCATGCTGTAGGGGGCAGAAATTTCCCACTCACTCTGCATATGAGTGTAATGTTCTTCACATATCAGTCAAACCAAGATATTAACTCCGAGCAGGAATTTAGACAAATAAAGTGCAGAACCAAATTTAATACGATGTTTTTTGTTTTGTTTTGCGCAATCATAGGTGACCGAGCTGAGACCATCGATTCGCTCAATCAAATCGCGTTTAATCACAGGCAGCTGAAGCCTGGATCCAAACCCCAGATTCTCAGCGCAGCCAGCGCAGCGCTGTGACCTCACAACTACACGGCTGCCATGCAGACAGGACAATCTATTAGCTCGACATGAGCCTGCAAATTATGTGTAAAGGTTCACAGTAAAACATTTATTTCGTCTTATTCCCCAAGGAGAACAGAGAGTTATATTACAAGGTGCTTTGGAATGGAAGGTCACACACTGCAGCGTTGTGTCTCGCACATTAAAATTTCAGGAGCCGATCAGGCAGGATTGACTGTGCGTTGCACTCTCCGAACCTTCGTGAGAACTAAAAACGTAACAGAAACCGCCCCCCCCCCCCCCTCTCCAAACTAGAAATGAGAAAGCCATCAGAATAAATCTCAACAATATTGATTTAAAGCTTTCGTGACTGCAGGGATTCATATTCTTGGTTCTTTCGGTAAAGTCACGTAGAAGGGAAATAATAAAATAATAAAAATATTCAACGTTTCCACTGCAACACAAGCAATCATCATCAGGTGTGAAATCCACAGCAATAATTTTTTGTTTAATATTTCTAATATTTTATCATTTCCCTTCTACTTGACTTTACCGAAAGAACCAAGAATATAAATCTCAAAAACTTAAAAGTCAAATTAGCACAATGCCACAGAGATTCTGGGTTTGAATCCAGGCAGTCATACATGATTAAACTGGTTCCTAAGCGTAGCAAGTTGACAGCCTAGCCTGTTCAGCAATGACAGCAGAAAAAAATCCATCGCATAACATTTGATTCTACACTTAATATAGATACATTCTTGCTGTGAGAATTACAAAAATATTAATTTGACTGTCATGTGATGAACCTTAATCTCCCTGCAGAGCGGGTAGGAAAGAGCTTCCATTTCCTATGTGGACCAGGCATCACTTGACAGGATCTGAGAGGTAGCTCTGTGACCTCTGCTTCTGTGGGCCATTCTCTCACATGAAGAGATGCACTGTTTAGCGAGATATCTGAATGGATACTTCGTCTTGTCACACTGATAGCACAATCGGGATATTTGTGGAATATTACAAAGAAAAAAGCAATGAACGTTTCCGCAATTATTAATCTGCAGTCGGCACGATGAAACCGGCACCGGTGACATAAATTTAGCCACGGCAGACGCAGCCCTAGCCCTGGTGACTCTGGGGAGAGCGAACAGCAGAGCCCATCAATTTAATTTCATTTTGGAATTACAGCCTTAACGACCGCTTACACAACAATAACACACAAGCCTTGTTTTGAAACGTCTGTTCCTAAATATGCATTTCAGCACCTGCACAGCTGCTGTGTAAGCTGCTCCAACCGTTACTGTCAAGACGAGTTGCAGACGCTGCACCCGCCCCGCCGCGTTTGAGGAGTTCGCTCCGTTCAATCAGACAGACCTTAACCTCACAGTATTCTCATCACCGCCTCCTTGTCAGTAACACAAGGGCCCATACTCCTTAACGAGAATATTTGGCAGTTCACCAGCATTGATACAAGCAAGGTCTGACGTGTGTAAAAACTGGTCCACAGATTGCTTGTTTTGAACCAATGCCGATGAAACTATGCACTACTAGGAGGCCATGGGGCTGATGGCTGCGTGCAAAAAAAAGTTAGATATATTGTGGGGAGACGTATCTTCTGCGTATCTATTTTATACCGTACATATAATGCAATTTACGTAATTTATGTATTCAGGAAGTCCCCCGGGGTCTCAAGACTGTCTCACGTGGGTCCTGCAGAGGGATGTTTGCCTCATTATTTGTTAAGGATTGTTTTGCTTCATGTGCGAGGAAACCGGCCATACCCAGGGTATGCAGGTGGAGTATACTCAAAATATCCACACAGCTTGATTCACAAATCCATTTTCTGTACTACAATTTCTTGGCCATCTCCCAGCCCAATGGCGTTTGGGAGTGTCACAAATCTCAGAATCTTTTAGAATCAGAATCTTTGTTTAGACTGGAGGAGGAATCTGATGAGCTATGAAGCTCTTTTTCACACATGTCCAGTAGGGGTGAGTCAGAAAGTTACAACAAACAAACAATACAAACACCGATAGGAGTGCAAAGTATAGGAAAGGTAAGCAAGTCACTAATTTTGTTTTAATATAGAGTCTCTGCGTGGTCCAGCAACGCTTGCCTTCAAAGCCCTGACAATAAAATATTACAAGCAGATTCAGCCAAAAATAACGTACGATTTACTAAATTAATGTGTTACTACAATTAATAAAAGGTAAAAACATATTTTATAAAAATAAGCTGAATACTTGCGCTCCAATGGACTTGTGAAAATGAGCCAAAATTGGACTTCCTCATTATATTTAGTACTAGAATTTCAAATTAACCGGCGCTATTTTTAAGCATGTGGTGGGCACACAGTGATAAAAACTACTGCAGTCATTCTTGTCAAAAGTCGGGGACGCAGGGGAGAAGTCTAAACAGAGGACGAGGAAGTCACACATACGCAACACATCTACTCCAATGTATACAGCATCTAAATGCAAGAGGTTTTCTACACAACACGTGGAGATAATGGGAAGGTCTAAAGAGGCACATGGAGGTCACGGAAGGGGCAAGGTAAGGTGTGCTCAGACCACAGGGAGATCGCAGGATACATACTGAGGTTTCAACACAACACACCGAGGTTACAAGAGGCACTTGGAGGCACCGGCATGACGCACGATAGTCCACATAATGCGCTTGGAGGTCACGGAGAGAGCATCAAGAAGGTCGTGGGGGGGTGGGTGGCGAGGGGTGGGGGTCACGTACCGTCCGTGCGCGACGAAGTCGAGGTGGAGCTCTGTGTCAGGGTGGGAGGTGGCACGACGCACGCGCTGGTGCCGCTGGTGCAGCCCGTCCCTGTCGTATGAGAGGCCTTCGTAGTGCCGGATGAACGAACCCAACGGGTTTCCGTACCAGCCTGGAGCGAGCGCGCACGGCCACCGACAACACGGTCAGAGTTTTTATTTTCAAACAATCTGCGACACAGCCATCTCTCACGGTCTACGATGCAACAATTCATCCAACACGTGCTCACAAGCTCATTGCATAGAGAGGACATTCGCTCTGCTGGACATTCACTCTATCAGGATATCCTGCAGTGAATGTCCTAAAAACCAGTTAATGTGGTGGACATGTTCACTCTCAACCTATTTGTCACTGTGTCATGAGGCTCCCTTCAAGTGACTTGTCCTGCCCAGGCCCACTTAGTTTTCTTAACAGTCAAGATGATCTTTACACGGAGGGTTTCCCAACGCAGCAACATTTTTATAAATGTCACCATTTTGTTTGGCTTTTAATATTCTGATTTTGCTAATGAACCCACTCGATTAGCATATTTACCCACGTGACTACTTTATTTGATTGGTTCTGCCAGGTGTTGGACAGTTATAGTTCGAATTTGGCATCGTATCTACACAACGCTAGACCCCCAAAGAAATCGATGCGATTAACAATCAGTCAGAATAATGTCTCGAACTTGCGTACACAAATGAAATAATTTCAAGGCGTGGAATGAATGGTACTCTGAATGCTTCAATTACGCAGCAGGATTAGCACCGTTCACATTTACTAATCCTCGTGACACGGCTAACAATTAATCTCTGGCTCATGACCAATCCTACGAACACACCTCTCAAAGTGGCATCTACGGAACGTAAGACTTGCTGACAACACGCGGTGTTATGGCACGAAACGTGTGAGTCACACTCGAACAGCGCCAGGAGGTCTCATCAGCTATCTCTGGCCAGGAGGTCTAATCAGCTATCTCTGGATTTCAAGTTCAGGGTGCTAACTATTACACCACACTGGCATCCGCTTGTCTGTGGAAACCCTCTAATTGATACTGTGCTTAAGCTGTCTTAATCCCTGCTTCCGCTTTCCATGCCAAGTGATAGGTCCTAAAAAGTAATCAATTACATTTAAATAATTCCGAGTGATTGATGTTAACAGGCTATTGCTTTTACTCCAATGTTACTTAAAACCTGTGCTTATGTGTGATTATATATTCTCTTGGCAGTGGTGTTTGAGACCACATGCTGCTATGGCAATAAACTGCAAACGACTTATCAAACCTTGCTGGATCACGCGGTTGAAATGTCATAAGCAAAGAAATTAAAAAGATACATCAGTTCTTTTCCCGGGCCAGCTGGCTCAGCATTAGAGCGGGCGGCTCGCAATCAGATGACTGCGAGTTCAAATCTTGATTGGGGATCGACTGAGCCCATCACTTCTCCTTGGTCAATAAATTGAGTATCACATTGTGGGGGAAGTCAATAGTGATTATCATATGCATAGACTTGCTCCTGTCAAAGGAATATGGAATTTCCACTGTTGGCCCAGGGCTGCTAATATCAGATTAGCAATGCCTCAATGCACATTTGAATGGGAAATCGCTGACTTTTTAAAATTATATTTTGACGTATATTTGAAGTTTTCGTGACTGCAAGGACCCATACTCTTTGGTTTTGTCGGTAAAGTCACGTAGATAAAAAAAAATAGAAAATAAAATTTTCTGGAGCAGTCAACACCTGATGACGGTTGCTTGGGTTGCTTCCAAAACGTCGTGATTTAATTTATTTGTTTTCATTTTATTTTATTTTATATTTTTTTACCTACGTAACTTCACCGAAAAAACCAAAGAATATATTTTGACATCCTGGCATATAAAATATGTTGTGTAACAGAAAGAATTTCGGTAAACTAACCACTGCCAGTTATTCTCATTTTCTCACCCAAACAACGGGAAACATACACCTATCCGTTGGGTAGCCTGTGCAACATCAAGCAGTTAAAGCAAAAATCCTCAAGTGCAACAATCGGCACAATTTCCCTCAGTTTCACCACACCGCTAACCACCTTCCCACGATGTCTAAGGACAAGAGGATCCCCCACGACGATGAACAATATGAGGGAAGTCAGTCTAAAGCAGCCTGGCAATAGGATGAGGGCCTAACACAGTCCAATCAAGAGCCTGTTACATCTCGTCCGCCAGTAGACCAATTAACCACCCCCTCGTTGAGCAGTAATTGCACTTTGTGTTACCGTTAGTTTCTATAGATGTTCACAAATCCAATCTTTCACGCACAGCAATGTGTACTTATATAGCGTACACTTGCTTGCTTCGAAAGCACAATAAAGCATTTCCCGTGCTAAAGGCATTTTCCGCTTTTTTTTGTCCTGGGACCTAATTGTGCATGACGGTGTAACTGGCAATTTTTAAAGACGCTCACACAAACCAACCTCCTTGCACATCCACCGACACCTCAGCCCCCAGCATGTCGGACATGTGCCGTTGTAAATGTGACTTTTTATAACAAACTTGACATTGGATATTTATTCAATTTAAACGGAGATTCAGGCTTCCCACGCATAGAATGTCGCTGCCCGTTTACTGTTTCCTATCAATAAATATGATTCAATTTACGCGGGGCTTGGTCACGTATGAATTCTCAGATGTGCAACACCGAGTTCAACTACACTAGATTAGTGGCAGAGAATGGAGGAATGTCAGAAATGGTGTCCTTTTTACACGCTTTTATTTAACTCACTCTGTTGTTGTTGTCGTATCCTCAAATCTTGTAACTCAATTTTAACCCACTTCCCAATGTGGCATCGACTGCAAACTTGGTATACTTATGTCATACTGTAGCTCACCGACGTGTTTTTGGGTTGTACAGCGCATTGTTGAGCATGATGATGACGACCCAGTGTTTCACTTCCATGTCCTGGGAGTTTCTTCATCAGACAGTGCAACAACAAAAACCTACGTAGTTGTAATTTAACCTGTTGGCCTCGAGGACTACTTGTGTTGAATCATTATTGCTGATAAGATGTACTCCCTGAAGGCCATGCTACTTAATGGAATAAAAAAAAAATCTTTAAATTATCATGTGGACACAGAAATATTATTTTTTGTACTTAACATCCTTCGCAACAACACAATGGTTACTTTGTGTTTTGTATTATTTAGTTTTACATCGACTCAGGACCCATTTCTTACAAAAAGGATCCTTGCCTATAAACATCTGGCAGTTCAGCAGAATTGGATCAAGAAAGCCTGACTGCTGATGAAGAGACATTGAATGTCAAATCCAGTCCAGCGTTTGCTTGTGTTGAAAGGATGGTGCTGATAAGATTCACTCCCAGTTCCCAGAAGGCTGCTCAGCAGATGGGTTGTGTAAAGAATAAACTCGGTTTTTTTGTGTGAGGGTGAGACGTTTATAGGAAGGAGGTCTTCATTGTTTCGTTCCGTGAGCACTCTTCAGTTAGTCCTAGCGGTGTCGGTTTCACTTTCCTATTTGTCCAATCCTGCTCGCACAAAAACACCAAGCTGCAGCTTTCCCAGATAAGTTGCCCCCCCCCCCCCCCGTTATGGTGTCGGAAGTCTGTTTCTGTAGATAACTGATAAATAAGTAATATTTAAAAATACTTTTTTTTAAAATAGGCATTAATGAAATGTACCATACGAGTCATGGCAGAACTCCACGACTCCAGGAAGTGGCCCCGAGGCTTGCCATAACGTAAGAGGCCGTGGTGATTTACAGCCAACGTTAGTTGAGCGTGGACAATTAGACCCAAGGCGAAACATAACATATAAAAAAGATTGTTACAAATATATATTTTTTAATGATAGAATATAGTATTGTCATCAGTATGACATAAGTATACCAAGTTTGCAGTCGATACCATATTGGGAAGTGGGTTAAAATTGAGTTACAAGATTTCAGGATATGCCAACAAGACAGAGTGAGTTCATAGAAAGCGTGTAAAAAGATTGTTTAAATTTTTTTATGATAGAATATGGTATTGTCATCAGTAAGCCATAAGTATACGAAGTTTGCAGTCGATACCACATTGGGAAGCGGGTTAAAATTGAGTTACAAGATTTGAGGATACGACAACAACGACAACAACAGATAAAGTGAGTTAAATAAAAGCGTGTAATAAAAAAATGGGCGAATAAGCATGCAGCAGAGCGTAAAGAATAAAAAACCCACATACACACACAACAAAGCCCAAGCTATTAAGTGACACACCTACACTTACAAACATCGACAAACAAATCCCATTGCTCTCTGCTACCAAACTTCCCCGTGTATTGCTTGGCTGGTTCTCGCGCAGTAATGGACACCGCTGCCCCGCAGTCAATTCAAACAAAAGCAAAATGGGCTAAAAAATAAAGGAACCAAAAACGCTTCACGCGAAACACAATAAACCTGAGGCCCGCACTGTATTCCTGTCCCTCCGAGCTCATTGCTTTTCCTGTCAGCTGCATTTTCATTGTTTAAATCTACAGGGTTCAAAGTCATGGAGCACTGGTCGCCCGTGCTGGTGAGATTCAGATATAAAAATCATTTCTATAATTTCTAAACAAATTATAAAAAGGCACCACCAAAAACAAATGCTCAAGTGCAGTGCCAGCATCACTTTCTGCAGTCATGGCTTTGGTTTGCCCATTCAAGACTCACTCATGGGGGTGAAGAGAGGAAAATTGTGTTTGACGGTGTCACCTGCCTCCAACCGCAAAGCCACAATTGGGCCACCCTGCTGGCAGATGCTGCAACGTTTCACAAATGCCACAACCAATCAGAACCGTTGTTCTAAAGGCGATCTTTTTAGCCTATGCCCTCATAATAAACAGGTGTGACCTCCACATTGACCTCCGATTTAGAGGCAGCTTATCGAGTTGGCTGCGGATGCCCTTGGGGTCAATTTTCTACGATAGTGAGCCAAGCATGTCTGTGTGTCCCGCGCGTGACGTCACTCCACGTCGGCCAGCCTCCTTCATTAATACTCATGAAAAGGTGACGTCCTCCACATGGACCCCCCCCCCTCATTAATAATCATGAGCAGGTGACGTCACTCCACATAGAACAGCCCCCCACATTAATAATAATGAAGAGGTGACGTCTTCCAAATGGACACCCCTCCCATTAATATTAATTAGCGGGTGACGTCACTCCACATGGGGGGGGGGGGTGAGGCGACTCCTCCCCCCTTCAGCGTCAACTTACAACCCTCACTATAAAGGCAGAACCCTCACGTCATCACGTGATCTCCGTAACGCTATTGAGACATACAAGTAAAAAGGACGTCATGATGAACAAGAGATTATAACCTTTAAATGAGATAAGTCTGTGTCACCACGCCTTTACAAACTGCACAAAAATTGATGCAATGAATATCACGTCGCGGTCTGCTTTTTGCTTGCAAGTTTCAGATTTACTGAAATACACACGTCGTTGAACGGGCAAAAGGCTAGTGTTAGGACAATCGTGTACAGTGCTGTTGATGCTACCAGGCCTCAGCACCACCTCCTTCCATCTGTCAGATGCCGTGGCTAGTCACAATCCAAGGTCCGCTTTTACAGTCTCAGACCATGAATGAAGTTTAACACTCAAAGCAGATACAGGTGCTTGTTGAGCAGTGGATTGACCAAGGTCTGTTCATGTGCACACGTGCCACTCATGATCCCTAATTAAGGCCAAACTGAACTTGGAGGAGTGGCAACGACTGCAGTAGCAGCAGCAGTTGGATTAAAAGTTCAAGAAGTGGTGGCCGAGGTGTGCGGTTTATTGATGGAAATGGCTTTAATCTTCTTGCTTAAAAAATTGTGAATAGCAATAAAAGATCCATATACAGGTTTTAAAACCACAAAATGGGTGCAGGTGAGGCTGAATTAATTGATGCTCTGTCTGCTGAATTCGTGAAGGTGACAGTGACTCACAATGTGCCCTAATGTTTGGTCAGAGTCGCTGCAGTCCCATTTTGGGCATCCCTTGATTCCACTTGTGAAGGTGGTGAGCCTAACTGGGTTGTGAGAATGCGATTGAGTCAAATGCTCCATTGTTTTGGAGGAAGGTTGGCAACAGGAGGTTCAGTAGTGGGATCCAATCTTAGATATTTGTTCGGGACATTGCTTTTAGTCTAGACTTATCTCCAATGTTTAGTGTCAACTCCTGAGCTGATGAGCCCCCCAGCCGTTTGCTAGAATGGCTTGTGAGACAGATGTTTAGCTTGCGGTATGTTTACGAGGTCTTGGTGTATGGGTAGATGTGCGCTGCCTCTAGCAGGGTTGTATTCCTGCAGACATTGGATGAGCCTGCGGGTTGCAGGTGGAGGAATATTTGACAGCACCGATGGCCAAGGTAGAGGAGCAGAGATCAATGTGCCAGTGGCTATGATGAACTCTTCACACATAACCTTGCTATTCAAATTACTGTAAACACATGGACCTGATAGCCAGGCGAGAGCCCGGTGAGAAAAGCCTCTTTTGGAAAGAAAACCTGGGATAAAAATATTCTACATATATTGCACAAAATGTCAGTGCAGAGGATGACACAACATATTCACAAAAAGCATCGCGAAAAACAAATCAATGTTTATAAACATAATATAAATAAAGTATAGTAAAAATAATCATGTAGGGTCCTTGGTTAATCCACTGCCGGATAAAGACTTACCCATCAGTCGTGGGGGTTATTTGACCATGCTTCCCCCGTGCTGGTTAAAGCTGGTCAGTGGAGGGAGGGGAGGCCCATGACCGGTTCAGTTATTAGTCGCCACTATGTTAGCCATGGTGGGCAATCAAACTCAGTTCGACAGGTTTATGTAGCCCATTTCTACACGCCATGAATGCAACCCTATAAATACTGGACAGTGGTTGGTCCAGGATGTGGGAAGGTGGTTTAAAATGGGAAGGGGATTCCAAAAGCTGACTGCACACCAGTATAATTTTCAGGCAGGCCATGGATTTTGAGTATATATTAGACGAATAGTGCACTCAATCAATTCTTAGACTGAATATTGTAGTGGATTGACGGCGACAAATGGTATTGATGGAGTCACCAAGCCCGGCCCATCACCTCCCATCCGGCAGCACACGTGGGAATAAAGGTGATACTTATGTTCTTCCAGCTATTGTCATGTTATCCGATTGGTCGATTAATCAAACCGATCATCGGTAATGTTACGGCGATTGTCGGATCAGCATGCCATGGGCTAAGTTGTACTGCAATTACAATTAAAGTAGCATTGTTTGCTGAGATTGCAATAACATTGTGACTGCAATTTATTACGAATTACACACTTTAAAATTGATTCCAGCTCTGATCGAGACTCGGGAAGACTTGCTTGAATAATGCTCATTATCATCATTAGCCATAGTAAATCCAATGCTGGCAGGAAAAACTCCCCAAGCCATCCCCATCTCTCACGATACTGCGATATAATAATTCACCTAGTACCAGCACACGAGCCAATTTCACCATTCCATCTCTTTGGTGGACGTGTTCTTGAGAAAGGTTCCATTCCTTGGCTATCACTCAATCACTATTGACGATTGGCCATCAATAACAATGGTATCATCCCACAATCCTGATACTGACCTCCACACAAACAAGCCTGTCAACATTGGTGACACATACACAACAGTACTATACACAAACAGTAGACAGTGTCTAATGGGATAGATAAAGTCACGGAACACGAGCGCACACGCTGTAACAGGTACACTGACGACGCTTAAGCGATCATGAAAAGATTTGTCTGGAATTTTAGGCAAAATGTGACCTATACCATAGGATGCACAGATAGGATATTCAGTTTCATTCTGTCCACGTCGTTGTCCAAGTACTCGTGTCCATGTGGCCATGCCCGTGTGATTTCTATGCACCTACTCTTGACATTTGTGTTTATGTGTTCCCGTAACGTGTCGCTTGTCCCTGTTTCCATGTATCTGTGTCCCCCTGTCCCTCTGTACCCGTGTCCTTCTACTTTAGCCCGTATACCTGTCCATGGATGTTACCTCCGTGTCCATATAGTGTATTCATTAAAACCCTATACAATATAGAAATACGCCTGTGTGTTCAGATGTCCCTTTATGTGTAAACATGCGTGTCCATGTGTTCCATGTGTACCAATGTCCATGTATGTTTGAGCTATATCCCCGTGTCCCCATATCCACGTTCGTCCATGTATATCCACGTTTGTCCATGTATATCCACATGTCCCCATGTATGTCCCCGTATCCCCGTGTCCCCATGTATGCACATGGTCCCTGTGTTGTGCTGCCAGCACGGACCAGAGGCAGCAGCATGTCCTCGCATCCTCGTGTTCATGTCTAAGTGCCAATGTGTCCCCAAGTGTCCCATGATGATGACGATGTCTCCGTGTCAACGTGTCCATATGTCTGTGTCATCATGTCCATGTGCTCGTGTCCATGTGTCTGCATCCTCCTGTCAATTTGTCCCAGTGAACATGTGTGTGTCTCTGTCTTCCTGTGCCGTGCCGGCCTTCATAGGTGCTCGCTAACAACACTTGTCTCAAAAGTCTGTTAAGGCCATACCCAGGGGTGGGGGGGGGGGGGGTGGATGTTTGTCATTGTCACAGTGTCCATGTCCCCTTTGTCCCCTTGCCCGTGTCTGCTTCGTCTGTCCGTGTACTCTCTCACCGTGCACGACGGGCGTGAGCACGGCCACACACACGAGGATGAAGGAGGCGGCACGGAGAGCCGAGCCCAGGCGGGACATGGTGATTCCGCTTCTGCTGTTGTTGTTGTTGCTGCTGTTGTTGTTGTTGATCTCTCGTCTCCGTGTTAGTCTCTCTACCTGTGGTCCGGCACGGTGTTCGTGCGTTTCCCCCGCCTCCTCGTTGTGGCTGTCAAGAAGAGGGGGCGGCCGTGCCTCCTCGCTCGGGCTGCGCACACGACGGAGACGAAGAGAAGGAGGAGGGCGGTGGACGCGGAGACTCGTGCACAATGCGAGCACGGCGAGACGCGGGGGCGGTGGGGGTGGGGGTGGTGGGGGCAGGGGGGGGCGGGGCGGGGGGGTTGGGGGGTGGGGGCGGGGGGGGGCGGGGCGGGGGGGTTGGGGTGGTGGGGGCAGGGGGGGGCGGGGCGGGGGGGTTGGGGGGTGGGGGCGGGGGGGGGCGGGGCGGTGGGGGTGGGGGTGGTGGGGGCAGGGGGGGGCGGGGCGGGGGGGTTGGGGGGTGGGGGCGGGGGGGTTGGGGGGCGGGGCGGGGGGAGTGGGGGGGCGGGGCGGGGGGGGTAATCGCGGAAGTGCCGGGCGCGCGCGCGCACGCCGATTCACTCGCTGCTGCTGTGAACACCGCCACACTGCAGCTTATAGGTATACTGTACTGTGTACACTACAGTCTATATATACTGTACTGTGTACACTACAGTCTATATATACTGTACTGTGTACACTACAGTCTATATATATACTGTACTGTGTACACACTACAGTATATATATATACTGTAGTGTGTACACTACAGTATATATATATACTGTACTGTGTACACACTACAGTATATATATATACTGTAGTGTGTACACTACAGTATATATATAGACTGTACCGTGTACACTACAGTCTATATACTGTACAGTGTACACTACAGTCTATATATACTGTACTGTGTACACTACAGTCTATGTATACTGTACTGTATACACTACAGTATATGTATACTGTACTGTGTACACTACAGTCTATATACTGTACTGTGTACACAGTACAGTGCATACACTGTACACCACAGTCTATATACTGTACTGTGTACACTAGAGTACACACACAGTGTACACAGTACAGTCTATGTATACTGTACTGTGTACACTAAAATATATACACAGTGTATACTACAATCTGTATACTGTACTGTGTACACTAGAGTATATATACACAGTGTACACTACAGTATATATACTGTACTGTGGACACTAGAGTATATACAGTGTACACTATAGTCTGTATACTGTACTGTGTACACTACAGTACACACAGTGTATATTACAGTCTATGTATACTGTACTGTGTACACTACAGTACACACAGTGTACACTACAGTCTATATATACTGTACTGTGTACACTAGAGTATATATACAGTACTGTGTACACTACAGTCCATTATAGCCTATATATACTGTGTACACTAGAGTATATAGTGTACACTGCATTACACTATAACTTACATGTAGACTGTGTACACTGGAGTCTACACTACAGTACACACGCCACATCACAGTTCACGTGTACTGCATAAGAGTACAAAGTGCATAGACTAGTGTGGTATAAACACACTGTACACAGCAATATATCGTGCATGCTACAATACGGTATACACTACAATATATGCAAAACTGTATGGTATCAATGTACTTCTGTACACTATTGTCTATACATTGCAGTAAATACAGGTAGTCCTCTATTTACGATGGAGATGCGTTACGACGACCCCATCGTAAGTCGAAAATGTCGTAAGTCGAAGATGGCCTAGCCTACCCAGGAGTCTTAAAGAATGGTGATAATTTAGCAAAACAGAGTAATTTACAGTACCGTACTGTATAAACTATATACCGTATGTATTTATTAATTAGAATACTGTATTGCACAGTAAAATTTAAAGTAAATAAAACAAGGTAAATTCTTAGTCTACCTATATGAACTGCAATTTAATAGAACGTTTTTTCAGGAAACAATCATATCTACTATAAAAAACTTGAACATGCATTGAACGTATGTATAGTATCGAACCTCGTACGCTTCTGTGTTTGTCTGCCGCGCGAAATTTAAACTATTTAACAATTTTGTTGTATCGCTATCGTAAGATCGAAATATCGTAAGTCGGAGCGTCGTAACTCGGGGACTATCTGTATTGTAAACACTACCACTGTGTACACGTGCACAATAACTGCGTTGGCCTGCTGATGTAGCTCGCATGGGGAGTCCTGTTGGTGCATCTGCCAGTCAGGCAACCCACAACACCTGGGGGTTTATCCCGTGACCTTCCAGTGAGAATTTGACACTTCACGTGGCCTCAAAGTGCACCTAGCCTGGCACAAGCGACGTGGTGACGTTACCGCCACTTAGTGATGGACAGCGGTTGTTGTACACAATAGTATCGTATACACGACGGTATATCAGCACTACACACCATGTACTGTGCATAGGGGCCGTCCATAAATGACGTCACGCGATTTTTGACCCCCCCCCCCTCGTCACACGGCGTCACAAAAAGTCACCCCCCCCTCAAATATGACGTCACAAAGCTCTGCCCCAACCTACAAACCATATTTCCATTTTGAAAATAAAACATGCTTCAAATCGCTTTAAGCTATTGTCATTGTAGTGCGTATTTAATGTGGCGCTGCACTTTGATGTTGTAGGAGAAAACATTTATTAAAAAGTATATTTAATTAAGTAGAACGTGTTGTCTATATTTATTTAAAGTTGCGCATTTTGATGTGACGTCACTTTTTTCAAACCCCCCCCCCCCTCGTCACATATCGTCACAAATGTCTGACCCCCCCCAACCCCCCTAGGTGTGTGACGTCATTTATGGACGGCCCCATACTTGACTGTATTATACATAAACCGCCATTCGCCACAGAGTCAGCGCGGCGCTTGTGCCAGGCTAGGTGCACCTTGAGGGCTTCTTGCTGCTGCGAACAGGAACACGCGATAGATACACCATTCGCTGTGTTTTATCCGCCCGTCACTTCTGCTCATTGTTGTGAGCGACCACCCCTCTCTCTGCCTTCCACTATTGCTAGAGTTCAGAGCCGTGACATCCTGCCCCAGAGGTCGCAACCGGGTACCCGATACCCGTACCCTACCCGATACCCGTACCCTACCCGATACCCGGCTACCCGTACCCGGCCGGGTAGCCGTTTGCGACCCTGGTGCGGCCGGGTACGGATACGGGTAGGCCGTGAGTCACTGGTGAGTAACCGTTTGTCACTCATTTCGGGTAGGGTACGGGTAGGATACGACTACCTGTACCCGGCCGGGTGTAAACCACCTCAACAAGTACCGGTCCAGCTCGGGTTGAGCCGGACTAGGAATTGGCGTTGTGTTCGGGTGGTAGCAGGGAACGGATTGGTACCGAGGTATGGGACCGGTATTGTTATTGTTGAATTTTATTCCAGTAAACTGCAGTCATTGATAGACATAGGCTGACAAAAACAACGTATCTACACTATGGGAACCTCATTTGCCAGTAAAAATATGATGATTGTTTTTTTTTTAAGTTGATTGGTCCACACCCGAGACAGCTTTCCTTAGAGCCTAGTCTCACATGGGTTGGACCAGATGACGCCAAAAGGCGCACAACTCAAAGACAATGCACCATCAGAGTTATGTTCTTTTGTTTGTATTATGACTGCAGGTATTGCGGTCTATGCAAACATGACTCCTTGTAAAAAGGTGTCAGTTTTGTTGCCAGATAGAAGGGTAGAAAACCAATTATCAAAAACAACGTATTTGGGGTTTGGTGTGTGTGGGAAAAGGTGACGACTCTAAGCCCTGCCTCCTACTGAAATGTCAGCCTCTCTCTCCTTCGGACTCAGCCGCAGTGATTGTTGTTTCAGACTCCTGCCTAAGCAAAACAAGGGTTAAAAAACGTATTATTTCCTCAGGAAAGCCACACTTGAATTTGAATTATCTTCTTAAGGATGCTCTTTCATTGGGATGTTTGGCCAACGGCATTTGCATTGTATGTTTTAAGTGAAGGGTGTAAACCACTGAACCCGAACGAAACCCATGAATAATGGGGAAGAAAATATACGAACTGTACTGTACACAAAGGTGGCTGAGTCAGGAATCGAACCCAAATTATTTTTGCTGTCAGGCACAACTATTGCTACCACTCTTATCACCCTGCCACCACAACGGTATGGACACGTGTCTGCTCAGGGCTTCACGTATCCGTGGATTTTGTTTTATTCCGTGCACCTTTGGTATTTAATTGTAAGGTGGAGGGGTAACCACCAACCCACCAACTCCTCGGACGAGACCAGAGCGCTCGTTTGCCACTGGATGTCAGCACGCCATGAGTGTAATCAGCCGGCGAATGTCAGCTTCTCCCCAATGGCATTGGTTCACTACACACCACGCAGTGTTACCGTCTGACACCACGAGGAGATTGGGGGTTGTTTTTGCCTGACACTATGAGACAAAGATCCCCCGTGTAACCTTAGCAGAATGCTAGGGCAAGTGCTGTTAGCGAGCACATATGAAGGCCGGCACGGTACATGTCATACACACACACACTACATTCAATGTCATATGTATGGATGGAATTATATAGCGGTTAGCGCACTGCGCTATGAACTAAGAGACGACGTGAGTTCAATTCCTGGTCATGTGGGACGAGGAGATGTATCGCTGTACTCATGATAGGGGTGGCCAAACCCCCTGACCCCCTGACCCCCACGACCCACATGCCAAGGTCGACTTGCACAAGACACGCGCATGCCATGTGGGGTCTTCAATTTATACATCTGTGCGATGAGTATTCATTTATTCTAGATTTGAAGCTTTCGTGACTGCAAGGATTCATATTCTTAGGTTTTTTCGGTAAAATCACGTAGGTAAAAAAATTAATAAAAGTAAAATAAAAAATAAAAATCACGACGTTTCGGAGGCAACACAAGCTTCCGTCTTCAGGTGGAACCGTCACAGCGCGATAGCTGCATCAAGTGAGAGAAATACCAAGAAAACAGTCCTTGTGTCTGGCTCTGCTGCCAGTGAGCGAGCGAGTGACTGCCTTCCCCGAGTGGCTCCCGCTTCCGCAGATTTTACTTACATTAAATATTGACAAGAGTTGTATAAAGTTAAACATTATCCGTAACCCTATCAAGCTACGGTACACTGGAAATGCCCAGCAGCTACGTGCATCTCGACATCCTGTACACCCACACTCATCCACTCATCCAGTATGCTGACTCACAACTCACCTCATACCACT